CGATATAAGCCTCAGTATCTGAGTTTTGCACCGTAAGATTCCATAATTCCTGTTCCAGCTTCTGTATTTCCCCACGGGGACAATATTCAGCCAACAACATCTCCTTGAGTTCCTCCCACGGCATGGAATTCGCAACTGGAAGTGTTAAGGCCTCAACAAGGTCATTCCACCATGATAGTGCTCGATTGATAAACTTACAGGCCGCGAACTTTACTTTACTCTCTTGAGGGCATTCACATATCTCGAAGACTGACTCGATCTTCTCGATCCAGCGCTTCAAAGTTATCACCCCACCGGTTCCGTTGAATGTTTGGGGTTTTGCATTAGAGAAATCTTTATAAGTGCATGCTTTTGTGGCCCCTTGATTCATTCCATGGTTGGAGCTTCCTGTTCCCTGACCATTTCCACCTCCATTGTTTCCATTGTGGATATGTGCCAATGCCGCAGTGACTGCGGCCGATACTGCTGCCTGGAATGCAGCATAGTTTACCTCCGGCGAAGGCGGCGGTGGTGGCTGCGTGTTGTTGTTTTTGCGCACATATCTTCGAGGCATAGGTATGTATTTTATTATTATTTTTTTCAGAGTATTTTAGTCCCACTGTATTCATAGTTGCATATCTTGAATGATTAGATATGCTAGTTCACTATAAACATTGCTCTGATACCAATCTGTCACACCCCCGAACCGGAACGGCGGAAACGTCCGGGGGCGAATGACTTCATCTTGTAATATCATAACAAGTGTATATAAATGAAACATAGACAATAATCATCACCATACATAAAATATAACAACATACATGGTTTGCTTCATTGTATCATTCATAAATTACATCCAAAAATTAACAGGTGTAAGGTGAAAACAAAATACAGCAAATTCCCAAAAGTCAAAAGCTGCCAACCTGCTTAATGAGTTCCTGAGAATACAAGTTATTTTGAAAAGCGACCACATATAAAATGTTGGCGAGTTCATAAGCATGTTTAAATGAAAACTTTGTATTTGGTTTGTGAACACCAGAAAATCCGATATTTTCTGTAAAAAATAGTTTGTGAGTTTTGTTTCAAATCTTGTATTATAGCATGTGAATCCTTGTTTTATCTTGTTTGAAAACTGTATAGAGAGTGATTCCCAGAAAATCCTGTATTTTCTGTGTCATGAGAAAATGTGGTCTTAAACCCAAGGACTGGAGTGAGGTGGATATTACAAATAATCAACACAGTGTTTATACTTTCCAAAACTGAGTGGTATGTACATTCTGCGTAAAACTTATAATAGTTTTGTTATTCTCTATGTGAGTCGTTATAACCATACTAATATGACAGAGTGCCTGTCTTGACGTTCTTCAGGAGTCGGTTTCGTAGAAGATATTTGTCACCCTAGACTGGCCTGTCTAGTTGTAGCGAGCAGCTCAGGTGTGGGGTGTCAACCCCATATAGATCTATACACAAATTCTCGTTCTCCCACCAGGAGACTCTGGTTATAACTACAGGAGTTACGGTGTACACTAAGGTATGTACGATGAAGGTGCGTCTCACAAGAGCCTTAACGAAATTTTACGCGAATAGTGTTTTTCATTATTTTAGCGTTAAAATAATGTTACGAGTGTATATTTTTTACTATAACTCATAAATAGTAAAAACATAATCATTTTTATCGAGAGTGTCGGAATAGTTCGTTGTTTCATCGTTGTTATCAAAATAGTTGATTGTTAACGATAAGTTCAAGAGGCCCATTTTACACAAAATTGACACTAAGGCTCAATTAACGTAAAAGGTGTCATACAAGGCCTAATTAGGATAAAAGGGCCATATAATTCCCAATTTTTGGTCCAAATTGTTATAGGTGGCCCATTTTACTAAGTGACCTAATTTTTGGCCCATTTTATATAAAAAGTCATTTTTGGCCCAAGTTTGTTAAATAGTTCGTTTTTGGCCCATTGTAAATGAAAATGTCATAAAAAGTCCATTTTTACCAAAAATGACCATTTTAGCCCAAAAATACCGAAATTAACAATAAAAGCCCATTTTTATAGAAAATGACACTTTTGGCCCAGTAAAACCGTTAATGTCGAATAAAGGCCCATTTTTATCAAAAATGACACTTTTGGCCCACTAAAACCGTGAATGTCAAATAAAGCCCATTTTTATCAAAAATGACACTTTTGGCCCAATAAAACCGTGAATGTCAAATAAAGCCCATTTTTATCAAAAATGACACTTTTGGTCCAATAAAACCGTAAATGTCAAATAAAGCCCACATGACACTTTTGAATAAGCCCATTTTTATCCAAAAATGACTCTTTAGGCCCATTGAAACCGAGAATATCAAATAAAACTCATTTTGTTTATCTTTATTGTCAAGTATGGCCCCTTGTATACATTCTTTGGTTTTCTAGTAACTTTTAACATGTTTAATCTTTCCAAGCATTATAGTGAGTTACATAAAGTAACTTGTTTCCTAATATCTTCAAAACTTGGAAGATATTTCGAGTTTATGAGTGTTTAACATGGTTTCATAACATATCACACAGCATATCATGAAAATACACACATGCAAGCATAAATACAAAGATTTTACACAAAACCAAACTTGTATTCCCCCTAAAGATGGAAAATCACGAAAACAAAGGGGTATGAAGTTCACCTTGAGGTTTGATCGGTTTTGAAGAGAAAAGGGAAGGAAGTTTCCGACCTTAGCTAGCTTCTTGAAGAGGTTTTCGAGTGAAGATGGTCCTAAGAAACACATACACAAAAAATAGAGTGGTTTGAAGAAGATTTTTAGTGTATACTTGGATTTAACTATAAGGCTTAACAAGAACTTACCAAGAGTGTGCTACTTGAAGAGATTCTTTGAGAAAACCCACACCAAAACCCACGATTTTGATGAAGAAAAGTGAGGAAGTTTCTTGTGTTTTGAGAGAAAACAAGATAAGAAGTAACCTTGAATTGTGAGAAATGGAGAGAGGTAGATGATGGTTTGGCCGAGATAAGGAGAGTGAGAGAGAGAGAGAGGCTTTGGCCTTGATATTTGGTGGACAATCTTCTCCCTAGAAACATGGTGATCTTATGCATGGATATCTTCCATGCAAAAATGAGGTGTCACAATTTGAATTAATACCATCTTTTCTCTTTTTTTTTTTTCTCTTTTTTTTGGACCGAGTATAGGAGAGGGGAGAAAGAAAAATAGTTTGGGCTTGGGAGGAGAGAAAATGAGAACTCATTGGCCCAATAAGGGTTTCCGACCCAAGAAGGCCCAACACGGGTTTTCGGTCCATGAAGGCTAAATGGATGAGTTTTTGGCCTAAAAAGGCCCATTAGGATGTTCTCGGCCTAATGGTTGACCCATTTGAGAATTTGGCCCAATAAGAGCTCAAATAGTGATTTGTGGCCCATAAGGATCTAAGAAGATGTTCACGGCCCAATAAGGCCCACTAAGTGTCTTATGGCCCAAATCAGAGTTGAATAATCAATTTAGGCCCAACTAGGGCCCAAAGTTGAATGGATATAGCTTATTGGATTAGGGTTAGAGTTTTCACAAGGAAGTTTCGACTGGAGACAATTTCTGGATGTATAAACTGATATAACATTTGAAGTTTGGTTCGCATTTAAACACATCGTTACATAGTTACACAAAGAACTATCTTGTACATGGATAGGAAATCCTGGCCCTAAAATGCTAGTTGTGACATCATCCCCCCGTTAGAGGGAATTTCGTCCCGAATTTCTTTCGTGAGATATCCTTAAGGGCTAGAAAAGAGGTGAGGGTACTTCTGCATCATTTGATCCTCGCGTTCCCATGTGAACTCGCGTTTTGCACTTGTTGGGTATTATTGTGTTGCGTCATGGACTTGTTTTGTATATCCGGATTGGGCCTGTCCATCCGTGTTTATCTAGTAGGGTTTAACTATAAATAGTGCATGCATGTATGCATTAGATATGTGTGCTTAATAGTCAAATTTTTGTGCCTAAATTTCATTTCTCTCATGGCTTCATCATCTCGTGGGGGTGGTAAAAAGGGTAATTCCAAGCGTTCTAGAGTCGTTGACTCTAGTGTTAATCAATGTGTCCCAAACCCTCCACACCAAAATTCGGGTGAATTGGCATTCTTAGACTCTCAACAAGAAGCTAGGTATCATAATTTTCTTGGTCGTGGGCGCGCAACATAGAAATTCACGGGCATGACCATTCTTGAGTCCCTCCATATACATGACCAAGTCTGTGTTTTGTTCAGAAATATTGGATGGGCAGGTTTGTTGTCATTGCATGATGTTGGTTATGTCCAACCTACTCTTGAATTTCTGTCATCTGTTTCCTTCAATCATCGAACCGAGTATCTCTCATTCCGTGCTTTTAGCCGTAATTATCAGGTGCATAAAAATCAATTATGTGAACTCATTGGTGCTCAAATTTCTAACACTTACAGCCCATTTCACATATTTAATTTTCCTTTTCAAGAGGATGCTAAAGCTTTTGAGGGGAGAATTTCAGGACTGAGATATTTTCCAAGTGCTGCCAAAGCATCAAGTATCATTCATCCTGTTCTTAAGGCCACTCATCGCATCCTTGCCTCTATTGTATTTCCACAAAATGAGATAAGCAAGGCTGGCCAAAAAGAATTAGAGCTTATGTGGTGTATGATCCACAACCTAAATCAACTTCCTGATTTTGGATTATGGATTATTTTCAAATTATTGAAAATATCCCACAGCACCAGTGGTAAATTACTTTGTGGGGGTATGATCACAATTATCCTCAAACACACAGCTCTTGCCATTCGCTTTCCACCCGGTCTCGATGTCATTGAAGGAGAAACTCGCCTCACAACAACCATGTTGCAAAACGTGCATTTGTTCCATATAGATTATGAAACAGAGGCCATTTATTAGGCTGTTGATAGCCGTGATTACCTCAGCATCGATCATCAAAATTCTTAGCTTTTTCGATTGTCAAACCCCGTAAACAACACTGTTTGGCGCCTTAGTTCCAATTTAGGTGTTCCGATGCCCGAGCCTGATCCTGATTCTGATGAGGATGAGCCTATTCCTGATGCAACCATTCCTAATGCTGCTGCTCCAGTACAGCAAGAGCCTGTCATGCATCCCTATCATGACATGTATATGCAAGAATTTCGTAGGTTGTATGAAGACAATAGGCGTTTTCATCGTGATTATTCTGAACTTTATGACGGTGTTTGTGAGATAAATACTGAGATGGTGGAGTTTAGAGAAGAGTTTTATACCTTTAGAGATAATCAACAAGCATGCAACCAACATGTGGATTCCCTTGTGACCGACATACATAGGGTACTCTGCTTAGGTAGTCAACCCACATGACCACCGTATTACCCTCAATATCCAAACTACCCTCCACCGTACAATCCATAATTTCCACATCAATATCCTCCGCCATTCCCATCTCAATATCCTCCTCAATAATATATCCCGCTCTTTTCCTAAGCATCGAGGACGATGCATATTTTTAAGCTTAGGGAGGGGGGCGATAATGCATTGCATATAAAAAAATTAAAAAAATTTCATATTCATTCATTCATTCACTGCATTAAAAAAAATTGTATATTCATTCATTCATTGCATTAAAAAAAATTACAAAACATAAAAATACAAAAAGATTTTTCTTTTTCATTTAGGTTTTTAGGATCATTTCATGCATTTTTTTCTCCTCTTTCTTCTCATCTTTAGAATGCCTTTAACTATTTGTCACAATACACGGTTAAGTTCAAAGTTTTGTCTGCTTATACCCCGTAGACATGTGGTGTCACTAATTTGTGAAACTTTAGAACTATTGAGAACACACTTATTTGCTATTCACTTAGTAGAGGTGCATTGAGGTGTTTTATGACAAGAATCTCCTCTTAAATAATTCGGTCACAATAGGTGATAATCAAATGTAGGGCGTTTTTAAAATACCCGTGTGTACGTCATTGTGTGAATTGGTAAGGCATAAGGAGGCGCAAAAGTTCAATTGTTTTTTTTAGTTTCATTTTTAGTTTATTTTGTTAATCGTTTGTATATATGCTTGTTTTGTTTTTACTTTGTTTTGTAGTATTTAGTTTAGATTAATTGACTTTTTGTTGGATTATACATGATCTTTGCTTGGTTCAAAAATATTGGTTCAATATATATATACAAAGAAAAAAATAATATAAAAAAATATATAAATTTTTTTAGGACTTATGCAGCTTTTTCAACATTTGTCTTTATGCATTTTAAGGTCAAATCAATTTTTCTAAAGGATAGTTGTTAAAGTTGTTTATTATTTTCATTTTAGTTTTCTAGTTGTAAATATTAGAAGTTTATTGTCATTTTAAACCAATTTGTTTTCCAAAGTCAAAAACCGCGAAGTCATCAAAATGGTGGATTTCAAAGTTAAACTTCTACAAATGTTTGCCATTTATAAAAGGGTTCTTCAAATGTCAATTTATCAAGTTTTGTGTTCAATTTTTATATTTAAAATAAAGTTTTAGTTTATGTTAGTTTTTCATTTCTTTTGTAATAGTTAAGTTGAGTCTTTGTATATATTCATGCTGCTTTCTAGTTAAAAAAAAAAGAAGAACCGAACCAAGCCTTTCCAGATTTATCATGATGATATTTTCACAGGAAATTCGTTTGTGTTTGATTTTGTTGGCTTGTTTAGCCTTAGAAGTTTATTTTGAGGCCAACAATTATGTTATACGATTCTAATTTGCTTGTTTTATATATTTGTTGTTGTATATACTTCTTTTGCGCTCTTGATATGGTCATGGATTTATCTCCTATTATGGATTGCCGAGAGTTGACATGCATGCTTTTGGAAGAAGATATGAAGATTGTGCAATCGCAAGCTATTGAAGAGCATGGAGAGAAGACTAAGAAGAACGGGATATGCCTTACCGACGCCTGAGTGCCCTCCACCTTAAATAAAGAGTGTAGATTCTTTGTTAGGAGTGAGTTCACACATCTTGTGAAATGAGTGCATACACAAGTTGAGTGCTTCAGTGAGCACGCCCTATAGATTGAGATGCACCTTCCTTGTCAGTAAAAGTTACTAGGAGGTGCCTTATACTATGGTTCTATGCAATTAAACCAAGTGGTTAGAAAATCTTTGTGTTCCAAGTCTTCTACTGTCCTGATTTGGAATGCAGTACATTCATATGTGTTTGGGGTATAGGTTGACAACTCTTTAATCATGATTATGTTGTCGGGATAAATAACTTGAGGCATTATTTCTTTTTATTTTTATGTTTTCATTTACATTCACATTTGCATTCACCTCTTCCAAGGTTAACTCTTGTTTTGTTTTCTTGAGAACAAGAAAAGGGTCAAGCTTGGGGAGATTTGTTAGGTGCATAAGTTGCACCTTTTCATAGGTTAATTTCATGTTTATTTGTTGTAACGCCTGTGTTTCTAGGCTAGGCATTAATGTTGATGTAATAGTCTAGGCCAGCCTTTGTAATTTGTTTGAAATAATAAGATGTATTATTTGAGTATTATGTGTTTTATACTTAATTATTATGATTTAATAAGTTAAGGATAACAATAAGCATCGAAAATAAATATTAGATGAACCTGATATCTATGAAGAAAGTTGTAGTGGTTGAAACAAGGATTCCGGAGATATAAAGAATACATAAATCCGAGTTATAACGAAGAAGTTATCACCTGTCGAAGTTTCGCGACAGAACCGGTACGACGCTGTGTGGCGTAAAAAGTGAGTTTACGATAAAGTGCTTTTTAGTGATCTAAATGAAAGTCGTAGTATACGTTAAACCGAGAGCGTGCATAAAAAGAATGTCCAAATATGACTTCGTATGAGGAAGTTATGAATTTTCTAAGATTTGACATAGCAGTATGCAGCCCGAAACTCGAATTTTAGATCGAGTGATTTTTACCCAAAACAACCTAAACGAGAATCGAATATCTTGTTAATAGTAGTTTAACGGTAAAAAGACAGACGAAAACGGATGTCTTATGAAGAAGTTATGAATTTTTAACAGACTTTTCCTGTTCCGGTCTGTTAAAAATATAAATTTAAAAATAAAGTCAAAATTAGCCAACGGAGTCTAAATGAAAGTTGTAGAGCATAATTTCACCTACGCGTAGATATAAAAAACATCAAAAATGGATTTTGTATGCGAAAGTTACAAAATTTTGAAGTTCTGGGCACAAACTTCGAGGCTGGACCGAAGGAGTACGCCCAGCGTACTCGTGTAAGTGATCCGGAGTCCGTCACCCTCCCTACTTCTTCGCATGAGGGACACATGTCATAGCCTTGACACGTCCGAGCTGATCTACTTCGTACGCCCAGCGTATGAAGTTACGCCCAACGAAGAGCCTTCCGAGGCAGTACGCCCCGCGTACCGAAGAATTACACCCAACGTAATAAGGAGCTTCGTCCTCCTATAAATAGGATCCGAAGCCAGCCAATTTTTTTTACAAATTTTACTTCTTTCACCTTATACTTTTTTTTAAGTTGCACTAAATACCCCCAAGCCTAGAGTATCATCCTAGCATCGTAAGCAAGCCCCGGAGAGCCCGAAAATCCCGAGAAAAGAGTTTTTCGAGACGAAACTCTGCCCGCGTGAAGCCCGATTTTTGAGAAAACATCCCGGTTTCATTGAAAAAGATTATTTTAAAGGACGAAGTGCTGTCCAATCACCGTCTTATTAAGTGAGTGTGTAGTCACTTTCATCTTACACATAGATATGAAGTATTTTATATATAATACGTGCTATGTGTAATTATACTGATTGTTTATTTGAGATGGGTGTTGGATAGATGTTTTATACAAGTTTTAAACTGTATATGTATTTTTATCTACAATATGTTGGGTAAAACATGGGTAGATGAAATAGTTGATGTGTGTTAAAAAGATGAGAGGCCTCGATGTTGTTGTTGTTGTTGTTATAGTCATCTAGCAGAGTATAGATGACGATCACGGACCTTTCTAGACAGTCCAGTGGAACGCTAGCAGGATCGCAACCTTTAGGTGTTAGTGAACTATATGTTCGCTGGTGTACTCCATCCCCCTCATGGTTGCCTTATTTGACATAAATTGCTGAGGAATCCCTAAAGCAGTGTTGTCATCTCGATGATGATCCTTGGGCTAGGTCCCTTATGATAGGTGTTTAGAGACGTAAAGTGAGGATAACGGGAATGGGTAATAACGGTTATTGTTGGTTGATGAAATTAATAAATTTATTATTATTTGTGGGTTGAAAACCCTATATGCTTATCAGGCTCCCAAGCCTGACCCACTCAACTTTTTATATTACAGGTAGTGGACCCAGAGCATAGTTGGATGATGACGAGGGATTTTTGGATTATAGGCCAGTAGATGTAAATAAATGTTGCAAGGCTTATAATGTACTGTTTATGCTTTTGGTCTGTATCGGAACATGACATCCCGAGGTTTTGTTATATAATGAAAACATATTTCTTTAAGAAATGCTTTGATAAATTTTTATCATATTTTGTTTTGGGGACAAATTCCGCAACATCTTTTGGAAGATTACTCTGATTTCATTTTAAAAGCATAAACTAAATCGGTCTTTTCTGGCCGAGAAATTTGGGGATGTCACATTTGTAAATGGCATTACATATTTAGTGTAATTTTCATATATTTTGCATTTAAGTACATTATCGAGGATCTATCGATATTTCACCATTTTCTGTGAATGTTTCAGGGTGATTTGAAGATTGGAGCATGCTTAGGATGGTCAAGGGGAGCTTTCGGTGAAATTTCGGAACATTCGGAGCTAAAATGAAGAAATGAAGGAAATCAGAAAATGACTTGTATGTACTGAATTACACGGCCCGCGCTTTGGCAAGGCATACATTACGCGACCGTGCTTTGGAAGCATTTCAGCACATCAGAGCCATTACACGGCCGTGTAACAGCAAGGCATACGTTACACGGGCCGTGTAACATGATCGGATGGATTTTCAAATTTTAACTTTTGATTTATCTTTGGTTACTAGTACATTCAAGCATAACTTCGACTTGGAACTTCAAGGGGGCGATTTTGGGGGATTATATCATCATCTAACATCTTGGAAACACTTTAATTTGCATTTTTTAAGTTAATTTGAAGATCAAACTTATTGAATTAGTCGTTTAACTTAGACATGTGTGGCTGATTTCTTTATCATTTCCGATTCCATATTTCTAAGTGTTTATTGTTAGATTGTAATTTGTACTTGACTTTATGTTTATCATCTAGTAATCTTTGATTTGATCTTAATTATATGTTTGACTAGTTCTCTTTTCACTTGATCAATGAAATAGGGCTCTTATCAATCTAGTTAATCAAATTGTGAAATCCGTATATGTTTTA